TTCCTTCCTTCCTTCCTTCCTTCCTTCCTTCCTTCCTTCCTTCCTTCCAGTGCCCTGACCAACCCAACCAGCAGCCTTCTTGGGGTACATTAAGGGAGGAAGAGTCTGTCAAACTGGCAGTGTTGATCCTGCCACAAACTGACCAGAATAGTCGTGCTATTGGCTATACCACAGATTCTTGGATGCAGCTTGTTTAAATGTCAATACGGTAGAAACACTTTGATGAGTCTACTACCTTGAGCATTTAGATAAACCTATGCACATAGGGAGACACAGAGGATCTGTGATACCACCCTAAGGCTCAACTACCACAATTCACAGTCCTTGAATTGAGACTGAAACGTCTTGTCTTGTGGTTTCCACGTTTAGATCATGTGCACAAAAGAGACATAAGAGTGAAGCAAACCCCATTTGCCCCTGCAGGGGTTGAAATGTCCAGCCATCTACTTTTTCTGGACCTCAACTGATATGAAACAAGTGTATGCATTAAAGAGGAAGTAGAACACTCTTTTAATGGTATCAAATTCGACCAAGGCAAAGCTTTGTCAAGAAAAAGCTTGGGTGTTGCCTAGTGACCTCTGTGACTTTGGAAACATGCAGCCTTTCCTTTCTGATAGGCCAATGGGGCTTCCATACAGTTATGAAATCATGTCTTTTCATCAAAGTTAGGTCTTTGTTGAATGTTCACTTACTTGGTCTGCAAATGCATTCTCCAGAGATAGATATGGAGCAGGGTAGGTTGCGAAAATATGTGCTGTTGCATTTTCTCCCACAGTGAGCAGTTTTCCACCAGCAAAGGACATGAGTCCATCTGTGGAAGACAGAGGTGTTGCATGTGAGTGTTCTCTGAACAGGGGTGAGGGAGGCCTACACCAGGTCTTGGGCTAACCAGCTGCAGTCAGACACTCACGTGCATTTTAGCAGATCCATATTGTGTGCCTTTCTTCACTTCAGAGTATGATAGTTTTACAGCTGCCCAGAGAAGTCCCAGCATGGCGGGTCAAGAGTAGAAAGCCCTGGCTGCCCTCAATGGTTCATTCTAAACTTGAGCCAAATCCTTAGCTAGTGGGTCCTGTTGGAATTTTTGAGATTCACCAAAAGCCAAAGTAGAACTTGGACCTACTCTAGGCAGAATTCCTAATTCTCAGAGGTTTCTCAGTAGCCCCTAATACCAGTGCACAATTGGAGGGCATTGTGGTACAGTGTGGAAGTTGCCCTTGAGACAAGCAGTGCCCACACAGCCTGTGCTGACCCCAGGTCTCCTACCACAGTTCAATTCCCTCATTTTTCCAGGAGGAAAACTGACACTAATAAGGTCAGGTGACTTATTTAAGTCACACGGCTACTTATTTAGGTCACACAGAACTGGAGTCTGGATCTTCGATCGTCAGCACTGTGTTTGTCCCCTAGGACTGCTGCCGAACAGAAGCCCTGGCTGTTGGACAGAAGAGGGCAGAGGTTCCCCACCCAGCCCATTTCTCTACTGTGTCCCTTCCTTCAAAGACTTTGCTCCAGATTCTTTCTCTAAATACTTACTGGTCACACCCTTTGTCACCAATCAGCACCTCCTCTCCCAGCCAAATCAGAGAAAGCCATGGAGAAGCCACCTGCCTATTGCTTATTTTGTACGTGTTTACCTTGTAGCACTGGTTGGGCCTAAATCTATCTAGGCTTCCTTTAAGTTCTGTCTCCCTTGTAGTTGTGACTATTTTCATTAAGAGACTTCATGAATTTGCCCTAATGATAATGTTGGCCCCATTATTTAGAACTTAAAACTCTTAGAATTCCCTGTCAATTGTATATGCTTCCTGTTCTTGCCTTATTTCACCTCTTCCTACCAAGTAGCTCAGACTTTCAAATTATGCCCAGTTCTCCCTAACCTCTAGACTCAGGGGTCTTACTCACCATAGTAGATACCAAAGAGGGCTGCAGCTCCTGCAAAGGCTCCCAAGAACTGGGCTCCCACATAAAAAGGCAATTTGTACCATTGCATCCGTCCAAAGAGACACATTGCAAAAGACACAGCTGGATTGATATGGCCACCTGCAAAGAAGATAAGATAATTAGGAATGTGAGAGGGCAGGTTAGAGAGAATTATTATGAAGAAAACCTTCTCTAGAGACCTCAGGCAGAACTCAGTCTTCCAGGTAGAGAACTATATATGAGGACACAGAATCTTGTGTGTATGTGTATGTGTGTGTGTATTGTGTGTGAGAGAGAGAGAAAGAGAGAAGGAGGGAGGGAGGGGAGGAGGGAGAGAGAGAGAGAGAGACAGAGAGGGAGAGAGAGGGAGCATTTGAGTGGGGAGGAAGGGAGGACTAATAATCCTCATGACATCATTAGACACTGAAAAATGAGTGAGCTATAGAAAGAAATTTGTACTCAAGTGTTTCATTATCTATCTATCATCTATCTATCTATCTATCTATCTATCTATCTATCATCTATTAACCTACTGGGCTTTCTCTATTTATAAAGCAATAACCTCAAAGAGATTGATGTAAACTGTTAACTTCAATATATTTTTTTAAAGTTAATACACAATATACTTACAAGGTTTAAATCTATCTATATCTAGCCATTCCTCAGTCCATGTCCAGAGGATATAAAAGCAATCTTAGGACTGAAAAGAAACATCTCCTTAAGGGAAATGAACCTTTGGTTGGTGGGCTATGCCTCTTACTGAGGTAAGGGATTTAGTTTATTTTGAGTCAATCACAGTGTCTGAATGGATTCTCTGCAGTTCCCTTGCATAAAGAATATATTTCTCTCTCATACAGAAATGAAGCAACACTTCCATCACCCCAACCTAAATTATGGGTAGAGAAATCAGCCTCCTTATTCTCATCTAGCCACAAGATCAGATAGAGAGTTTGCTCTGTAGTAAGTCACTAAGATGCCCAACTGGTTTTGCTAGTACCAACATTTAGAACACTTGCCAGATGCTATCATAGGGATATTATATGCACTTGATCTGCATAAGAACACAGTGAGATGGGCACTACTCCAGTTAACTGGTGGGGAAACTGAGGCACAGAACTAAAGTAATTTTCTTAAGGCCCCATGGTTAAAGTAGTGGAACTAGAATTCAAATCCAGGCTTATCTGAACTCTTAGAATTTATGTTCTACATTATACCACTTCCAGAACTTGTTCATCAAGTTTATAATGGCTTCTCTGCCTTAGTGGACAGGAGAAAAAAAAGAATTTCAAAAATCATCTTTGAATCTATGGGCTCACTTCCTAGGCACAAAAGATGTTCATTTGAAGAGTATAGATGACATTTTGTGTAGAGAGGGAATTAGAGTTACTGTCAATGTGACCACACTGAAATGTGGGCGTTTAGGTTGTAGAAATAGTTGTAAACAAAAGTGATGACGATACTTCAACATTTTACCCTCCACAGAACCTACAGTTGAGCTTGTTTTTGGAAGCTCTCCCCTCTGAAAAAAATTACGCTTTTCCTGAGCCTCTAAGCCAAAGTAGGTTTGCAGCAGGGAGGGGTTCTGGCTGCTGGTAAACCACAAGGGTCCTTTCTACACCTGCCCCTGCCACTCAGGGGCTAATATGAGCAAGAAAATGCTGATATATCAAAGCACAGATGATTTCCTGAAGACTTAAAAACACGTTAACTTTTACTTTTAAGTCCAATAGTCACAATTCTGAAGACTGGTAGCACCGTGTACTAAGAAAACTTAAAACAGGTTCTGAGCAGGGAGCACATAGGGCAGTAGAAAGTTCCTGAAGCTGGTCTTGTTCCTCTTCTCCCAAAGGCCAGTTGAAGAGTAGCTGCCACCCAGCCAGCTGGGAGGGACCCATTGTGAAAGGACAAGGGGTCATAAGAAATGAGTCTACCAATGGGAGAAATATTTAGCAAACTCCTCTTCTAAAATAAAACTTCGTATAGGTAAGTTTATGCTTTTTCACACCTCATAACCACCCCGAGGCAGGAACTATTATTCACTTTGGACTTCACATTTGATAGGTATTCAAGGTATGGAAGTTGAAGAAAGAAAGAGTCAGAGGCCTTTCTCCATATAGCTCAGGTCACAGAGGTCTACAGAGGGAAAGTTGTTTGGTGGTCAGAGAGGGTGTGTCTGGGACGGTGCTTGGCAAAGCCCTGAGGAAAATTTCTCCTTGCAGAGATCAGTGGTCACTCCGGCTTACCCGAAGGATGAGGCAGAGCAGTGTGCTGGAAAGGACATGAGTGCTAGAGTCAGAGAGTGCTGCACTCAAAGTTTGGCCCTGCAAAGGTTGTCGTGATGATCAGATTATTCCCATTAAGAGCCCGGAGGGGCAGCCAGAGCCCATGAGGCCTGAGATGAAAGTCTCATGTGAACAGGCTGAACTCTTTCAAGGTTTTCTAGACAAGTCCCCTCCTCCATCCACCCACAGGCAATTCCACAATAGAGGTAGCCTTAATATTTTATTTGTTATTAAGCAAAACTATTTTGCTTTTTTGTTGCATTTATATTACTTATAAAATGCTGCATCAGAAACAACCACCATAGCCTAGGTAAAAACAGGCAACATAACACTCAGTGGGGGACACTACATCATGAGGGCATTATGAGCTCTCTGATTGGCTGGATTGGGTTGCCAGACCACTGGCATGTTCACAAGGGGAGCGGGGCGTAATAATTTTATTGCAGTAAGGTAATGTTTTGTATTTCAAAACCAGATGTCAGCTTACCTTACCAGTCTGTGACCACAAAATGGGATCCTATTTGTTTTTGCCCAATATATGTTGATTATTTTTTGAATTCTCATAGAAGGCCTCACAGGTACCCACAAATCGGTAATATTGGCTGTAGCCACCATGAGAAAGTCACCTCCCACACACAATCTTCCTCTCCTATTCCTGCAGCTGCTGAAGCCAACACTGAGTCTGCGTGGATGTCATTGGTGGGCCAGTGTGTTGTCTGTGCACGTTCCCAAGGCCACCAGCTTTCAGGGAGCCTGAATAGCGCTAGGTTCCATACAGAGACGGGGAGATAAGTTCCCTTTCCAATCCAGTGCTACCTTTTATCAGCCAGGCTCAGAAACTGTTCTACTTGTATTTTTGGGACCTTGCAGTCTCCCATAAAAAAATTTGGCTGCCTCCAACCCTCACGCAGAAACAACTCTAGTGAAAATAGTCCCATCGGCTCTGGCTTTCACCCCTCTGAGCACAGGGGCTTAACCCTCCTCCAGGGGCCAGCCAGATGGGAAGACTCCATGCCAACCTTCACTCGCTCTTCCCCTTCTGGCTGGCCCCTGCTCTTTTCCCTCCTATGGTGACTGCCAAAATCCCCAAGTATATCAATGGATACAAACAGACATGGACAGTGGAGGTGAAGGGTGGTAGCTATATTGGTAGGGTCTGGAACCAATTAATCCTGAGCAAATATTTGATGATGTTCAGTTCAGGGTGTCATGCAAGCAAAATACTCCCAACCACATCTCCATCTTAGAAAGAAAGGAAAGAAGGAAGGAAGAGAGGGAGGGAGGAAGGAAGGAAGGAACTAGTTGAAAATGTGCTCACATTTCTATTGCACGGTTTGTGGAAACCAAACTTGTATGGATGTAGTGGGAGCATGTAGGCGGCATCAGTGGAGCATCCTGTGTGCTTCTTTTAATTCAGGAGTGTGTCCTGTGTCTGGTGTTGAGTCCTGCACTGTAATAAAGCCTTGGCACATTCAGGGTGACCCCCTGGTTGTCCTTAGGTAGGCCATATGGTGCTGGGATCAGAGCAAAGGCTTGGCAAGAGTTTGAACAGAAACACTGGTCATGCTACACAAATTACATGTATAGGATTCGGTAACCTGGACTGTCCCAGGATCTGCGTCTGACTGTGATATGGAAAGGGTGCCAGCCAGCAAATGACTGTTCCAGGTACCTAGCCCAAGGAAGCCAAGGGAGCCTAAGCCATCATTCTCCAATTCTCCCAAGGCAGCACTTGTCACCAGCCAGCTGGCTGAACTGCAGGCCTTGCCTGTAACACCTTTCCCATCACAGACCACTATAAATGTAGTGTAATAATGGGGACTTGAGCTTTGCTGTCACGTAGACCTGGGTCAAATCTTTAGTCGGCCTCTTTACCAGCTGTGGGACTTCCAGCAATTTATTTAATCCCTCAGCGCTGTAGTTTTCTCTGTAGAGTGGAGACACCAATACCTGCCTCAGTCCTGCTGCAGAGGAGAGAGGAGCTAAAGCATGTACAGCAGCCAGCACACCGCCCAGCATCCCCTGCTCCCTCTCCTCCCTTATCACCAATAGCCTCGTCTTGGTGGTCTGAGCGCCCAGAGCAGGCTGCTGAAAGAGTCCCAGAGACTTTGGGAACTGGATCATTTTCACAATCCCTTCCTAAATTCCCAGGCTGCATTAAACATCATTTCATTTTGCTTCTTGAGCCTTGAGAATGGTGTCTAATCTGCCCACCACTTGGGGCAGAATTAGACTAAGTCCTTATGGATCAGAACTGTACTTCCATGAAAGCACCAGCCATTTTGTAAATGACCTAGACTATCTCTGACTGTTGTGGGTAAAGGTCCAGGAACTTGCCTCTGTTGGAGTGGCAGTCTTCACTGGGCTATTCACAGGGTATCTGGGAAGTGATTTGCAAGCATGGGTAGAGCAAGTAAAAGATTGTATTGACAGATGAGGAATATGATTCAGTGGCCAGATTTAGGAATTGGTCTGTTCTGAGTTCTAAGCCCTATCTCTGTCTCTTGCTAAATGTTGCCTTGGCACGAGTCACTTGCTATTTGCTGGCCATTTTAATTTTATCATCTCTAAAAATAGAATCAAATACATATTCTTGCAGGATTGCTGAGATCTGAATAAATGAAGGTATATAAAGCACCCAGCACTGTGCTAGCACATTGAAAGGGTTGATAGTAGGTATAATTATTTTAATGACTTACCAGAGACACCTCCAGTCACATAGATGGCCATTACAACTGCCATTGCAAATCCAACATTGATAGTGACAATTCCCCCAAAGTGTCCTCGACTGAGGGTAGCTTGGGCAACACAGCCACATCCAAGGACCTGGAATGAGAAGAAACTCAACAAGTAAGGGAGATGGCCACTGTCAAAGACAATGGAAAATCACACTAACAAGAAGTACTTTTTAAGCAAACTCATGGATTGAGCTGCCACAGGCTTCACAGAATCTCCTTTCCTTGAAATTTCTCCCAACTAAACCCAATCTATCCATAACACTGAGCTAAAATCCTACCTTTTTGTGGAACTTTCTCTTACAACTTAAGGTCTCAAGGGCTCTTCTGTTTTTTCTACCATTTCCTTACAATGTCATTTCATTATATTCCGTTTTGCCTTATGACACCCCACTAAGACTATAATGTCTACTGGGGCAGCTGGGTCTTCTTTATATTCTTATATTCTTCCATGCTCAAATAATATTCGATGAAAGATATTAAAATATCAACACAAACAGAAAACAAGCAAACACAGTGCAAATGCCTTTTCAAGAGAAAAAGTTAGTTTTGGGAGAAACTGTGAAAAGTGGGATGTGTCATTTCTAAGAAATATCAGTTGGAAATGCTGGGAAGTTCCCAAATGAGCCACGACCCCTATGACAAGCTAATTACTGAACACAATGTAAAACCTAATGTGATTAAGGGATTATAGCAAACCTAGCTGATGGGGATGGTGAGAGAGAAAAATAAGCCCACAGGTTTAATTTCATTTGACCCTTCTCAAATCTATTACTTACTTTAAAGTGCAGATTAAGATGTCCCTAGCACAGCACCCATTACATAACAGGCACTCAATAAATATTTATTCAGTGAGTATGTAAATACTGAGCCCTTCAGAAAAGAAGTACTTGATGAATGTTAGGAATTCCTTAGAAAAGTGTTTGTAAATGTATGTAACCTGGGGCCAGAGATCACCAAGGAACCTTGTAATTGTTGCAAGGGGTCTGTGATTCTATGTGCATATCAAACAATGTCCAAAGAAGGAAAAAATAACGTGCCTTGTGTCTACCTTTTGTGGTTCAGTGTTTTCATAATTAAGAATGGTTCCTATCCTATAGAGCTCTTGAAAAATTTTCAAGTTAGAAGAAGCTCCTTGGGAAACAATGTCATGGATTTTGGAGTAAAGGCTGTATGAAATGCTTGCTATCTTTACTCATCTGATTAGAGTAGTGTGAATAAAGGAAAACAAACTCCAGCTGCCATCTATTTGGTGTGTTATTCGTGCCAGGCTCCATGCTAAGTGCATTTCCTGTATTACTTCCTCATTGTCCAATTCTTAACTTATGATCACCCTGGCAGGGAAGTATCATTATCTTTATTTTGTGGATGAGGAAATTGAGGCTGAGAAAAGCCAAGCAATTTGCACAATGTTACACAATAAGAATAATAGTGACAGAATCAGGATTTGATCCCATGTCTGTCTTAGAGGCCTGTGCTCTTAACCATGACACATTGGATGGAGCAAGATGTCAACAGAAGAAACCAATTCCCCCAAGAATTCATGGAAATATGCAGGGAGAACATTGGGGTTCCACAGGATGTAGGATGGAGGTACCAGTATCCTATCTACATATTGAAAGTGAAGGGCTGTCTGGGAATGTTGAAGGACTTGGATATGCTAGGCAGCAGCCTTGTATTACCAATCTACCCAGCATCAAAGGCCTCGTTGGAAACTAGATACGTCAGTCTGAGGAGAAAGGACTGAGGCTGAAGCCCACTTAGGAGCCACCTTATAGGCTCTGGTCATTGTGCCAGGACAAGTGGCTTTACTGGTGACAACACTTGTTCAAAAATATACCCAACAACTTGTGCTATTTCACCAAAGCTTCCAATGACCTAGAGAAAAGTCCTTTTCAGCCCTATTTCCCTTCTTCTCCCAGAGATCAATGAGACATGTTAGTGATTAGTGCACGTTTTTCATTTCATGTAAAATCTATTAATTGATTTCTATTTTCTTCATTTCTGGCTGTCTTTGCATAGACAACTTCCACTAGATGACCAAGTGCTCGCCAGAGGAAAACCAGACCTGAAGGCAAAGGAAAACCCTTTCTGCTCTTGTTCTTTCTTATTATTCCCTTTCCTCACAGTGTCTCTCAACTCTGTGGTCCTCAGCAGAAGGTACACTCATCTCCCCATTGCTGACCAAACAAACCTGCCTAGTCTGGGATGAGTAGGCTGAGATAATGGTGGGACGGGCCTTTTTCATACTGATGAACCACACCCACGAGCCACATAGATTTCCTGTGACACTGGCCAGCATTTGGGAGGCTTATCAGGACTCATATCTTTTTGTTTGTTTGTTTGTTTGTTTCAGATGTACAAAACAATGGAATAGTTAGACATTTCACTCCTCTGCAAAGTGATAACATCCCTCCCCCAATCTACTACCCCTCTGACATCTTATATAGCTGTTACAATGCCATTGACACTATTCCCTATGCTGTACTCCATATCCCGTGACTCATTTCTATTCTTAACACTAAGACCTAAGAAGTCAAGCAGTTGCCCCACCCCTGTCTGCCTCTTTAGTAACTTTAACTGAACCAGAGTCAAAGAAGTAATCTCAGTGGTCATTCTAAAATGCCCAATACCTCCAAAGCTCACCCCACTAGTATTTTTTTATGATTGTTCTTTTTTTTTACCCCTGAAGGCAGTAAAATTTTGACATTAATTTTCTACTTTTAAATGCATTGAGTTCTGTATCATATTTGAGGAATTGTCCAAAGACTTAATGCTTAAAATTGGAAAGTTAAAGTAAGGCTTTTCTTTTATTTCCACGTTTTTATTTTTTTTAATTAGTTTCAGGTATACAAAACAACATAATGATTAGACATTTACACCACTCACAAAATGATAACCCACCTAGTCTACTACCCAGCTGACACCATGCATAGCTATTACAATACCATTGACTATATCTCCTATGCTGTACTTTTACATCCTGTGACTATATATATTTAATTATAGTTGACATTCAGTATTATTTTATATTAGTTTCAGGCATACAGTGCAATGGTTAGGCATTTATATAATCTATGAAGTGATGCCCCCAAAAATTCCAGTTCCCATATGACACCCTACAGTCTTTACAATATTATTGATTATATTCTCCATACTGTATTTCACAACCCCGAGACTATTTTGCGACTATCCATTTATACTTTCTAATCCCTCACCTGTCTCACCTATTCCCTACCCCCTTCCCATCTAGTAACTGTCAGTTTATTCTCTATATTTGTGAGTCTATTTGTTTTGTTTGATCGCTTATTCTGTTCTTTAGATTCTATATACAAACTGAGATCATGTGGCATTTGTCTTTGTCAGTCTGACTTATTTCATTTAGCATAATATCCTCTAGGTCCAAACATGTTGTTGCAAATCGTGAGCTTTCATTTTTTTTAATGAAAGAGTAATACTCCCTTGTATAAATATACCACAATTTCTTTATCCAATCAGCTATTCATGGGCATTTTGGTTGTTTCTATATCTTGGCTATTGTGAATAGCACTGCAGTAAACATAGGGGTGCATATATTTTTCAAATTATTGTTTTGGATTTCTTTGGATAAATACCCAGGAGTAGAATTGCTGGATCATATGGTAGTTCCATTTTTAATTTTTTGAGGAAACTCCATAGTATTTTCTATAGTGGCTGCACCAGTTTGCAATCCCAACAACAGTGCACCAGGGTTCCCCTTTCTCCACATCCTCACCAGTACTTGTTGTTTGTTGATTTATTGATAATAGCCATTCTGACAGGAGTGAGGTGGTATCTCATTGTGGTTTTTATTTGCATTTCTCTGATAATTAGTGACGGTGAGCATATTTTCATATGTCTATTGGCCATCTGTATGTCCTCTTTGGAGAAATGTCTGTTAAGGTATTCTGCCCATTTTTTAATTGGATTGTTTGTTTTTGTGGTGTTGAGTTGTATGATATATATATATATATATATATATATGTATATATATATGATATTATTAACCCCTTATCAGATGTATCATTGGCAAATATCTTCTCCCATTAAGTAGGATGTCTTTTTGTTTTGTTGATGGTTTCCTTTGCTGTGAAAAAACTTTTTAGTTTGATGTAGTCCCATTGTTTTGTTTGTTTGTTTGTTTTCCTTGCAACAAGGATATATTAGTAAAAATATTACTAAGGGTAATGTCTGAGAGTTTACTTCCTATATTTTCTTCTAGGAGTTTATGGTTTCGGGTCTTACATTTAAGTCTCATCCATTTTGAGTTTATTCTTGTATATGGCATAAGAAGGTGGTCCAGTTTCATTTTTTTGCATGTATCTGTCCAGTTTTCCCAGAACAATTTATTGAATAAACTGTCTTTATCCCAATGTATATTCTTGCTTCCTTTATCATAGGTTAAATTACCACATAGGCATGGATTTATTTCTGGGCTCTCTATTCTGTTCCGCTGATCTATGTGTCTGTTTTTATGCCAATATCATGCTGTTTTGATTACTATAGCCTTGTCATATAATTTGGTATCAGGTAGCATGATACCTCCAGCATTCTTCTTTTTTCTCAGGATTGCCATGACTATTTGGGATCTTTTAGGGTTCCATATAAATTTTAGGATTATTTGTTCTAGTTATGTGAAAAATGCCAGTGGTATATTGATAAGGATTGTATTGAATCTATATATTGACTTGGGGTGTGTGGACATTTTAACTATTAATTCTTCCTATTCATGAACATATGTACATGTTTCCATTTATTTTTATCTTCTTCAATCTCTCTCTTCAATGTCTTAAAGTTTTCTGAGTATAGGTCTTTTACTTCATTGGTAAAATTTATTCCTAAGTATTTTATTTTTTGATGCATTGTAAATGGGATTGTTTTCTTAATATCTGATAGCTCATTATTGGTGTATAAAAATGCAACCAATTTCTAAATATTAATTTTGTATCCTCCTACTTTACTAAATTCATTTATCAGTTCTAGTAATTTTTTGGTGGAATCTTTGGGGTTCTCTCTATATAGTATCATATCATCTCCAAATAATGATATTTTTACTTCTTCCTTTCCCACTTG